AAATTAGTTTTTTTTAGAACGTCTTACAAAGATCTGAATGTACTCCCTAAACGAGTTTCTTTGAATGTACATTCTTAATTGAGTTATGATGGTTCATGGGTGAATACCTCTCTAGATGGCTCAATGTGTGAAGATGATTAATAATGTCTCCATGGGTGAAAACTCTGATGGCAATATGGACGCAGACCCTTTTTAATGGCCTCATGTGTGACGATCTGCCTATATTGATAGCTCTATGTACACAAGGGTGAATACCTCTCTTGATGATTCAGGAGATCATTCTTGATGGCTCCATGGGAGAAGTCTTCTCGATAGCTCTATGGGAGAATACCTCTTTTGATGATTCTACAAGAGATCTCACTTGATGGTTCTATGGAAGAAGACCTATCTTGATGGCTCTTCAAGCAATCTCTTTAGATGGCTCTATGGGGGAAGACTTCTCTTGGTGGTTCTATACAAGATCTCTCTTTATGACTCTATGGGAGAAGACCTCTCTTGGTGGCTTGGTGGTTCTACAGGAGATCTCTCTAGATGGCTCTTCGAGAGAAGACCTCTCTTGATGGCTCTACAAGCAATCTCTTTAGATGGCTCTATGAGAGAAGACCTCTCCGTGGCTCTATACTAATCTATCTAGATTGGTTTTTGGGAGAAGTCCTCTCTTGATGGCTCAAAAGAAAGAGACCTCTCTTGATGGCTCTACAAGAGACCTCTCTAGATGGCTCTATGGGAGAAGCCCTTACTTGATGGCTCTACAAGAGACCTTACTTGATGGCTCTATGGGAGAAGACCTTTCTTGGTGGCTCTACAGATCTCTCTAGATGGCTCTATGGGAGAAGACCTCTCTTGATGGCTCTACATGCAATCTTTTTAGATGGCTCTATGGGAGAAGACCTCTCTTGTTGATGGCTCTATGGGAGAAGACCTCTCTTAGTGGCTCTACAGGAGATCCCTCTAGATGGCTCTATGGGAGAAGACCTCTCTTGATGGCTCTACAGGAGATCTCTCTAGATGGCTCTATGGGAGAAGACCTCTCTTAATGGCTCTATGAGAGAAGACCTCTCTTGATGGCTCTACAAGCAATCTCTCTTGATGGCTCTATGGGAGAAGACCTCTCTTGATGGCTCTATGGGGAAAATGTCTCTCGACATTGGTCACTGGATGAAAACCTATCAGTCTTTCACTGGCTGGAGACCTATCAAGCAGTGTACACCTTTCTTGTATGCTTCCTGGGTGATGGAACACACCATCACTCCCTCTGTGAAAACAGTTTGCCATGATTTTCTGGGTGAAGCCTCTCTCTCTTGATGTTCCATAAATGAGGATATATCACAGTAGCTCACTGGGTGACAACCTCTCTTGATAGCTCCCTGGGTGAAAAATTCTGCCAGTAACCCTCTGATCAGTAACCACATATACATTCCCATAAAGACATAAAAAATCATTTAAATGTATTAATTTATTCAATAGTCTTTTTTTTCCACCAAATGTGTAAAAACAAAATGTAAAATAAAAACAATCCTCAACTTTTTCATGTATAATTGACTGTAAACAGAATCTGATGGGGGTTGATACAGTATTCATCAACAAAAACGCAATCATGAAATGAATTATTTTAACCTCATAAATGCATCATTACAAATACACAATGTTCAAGCTGTAGAATATGAATTATCTGCAAGCATCGACCTAGATTTACATGCGAGTAAGAAGCAATCCTATTTATTTGGAAGGAACATGTAGACTGCTCACCATTGCCAAAAGATATTAAAGCAATGAATAACAGGTTCTCATAATACATCACAATCGTGGCAGTGCAGAAGACAGTAAATAGCCACCCATATACAATATAATAAATTATTAACCATATTAACCCAACATGGTCTGATGTAATCTGCATATCAAACTGTGGAAAGCGAATTTGAATACAGTGTGACTGATAGACTAGCCTCAAAAACACAAGAATCTGGGTAATTTGTTTTATGGTAACAGTATCGAAACATAAAATCAGACAAATACAACCCATCGAACAGCAGATTTTCACTGAAGTGGGAGGAAGAGAGGAACAAATGAAATAAATCATGTAGAAACAAAAATAAAACAAACTTAACACCATAATGTATTAATAGGAGACATAAATAAGAAATTTACAAATAAATCACACAGAAGGATTATGTACAAAGGTCACATTGCTGACCAAGCAATGGTAAAAATACAAGATAATCCATCCGCTTTGTTGAAACATTACATGCAATTTAAACTACGGTAATGGTGGCTATAAAAGTAAACAAGATATTGTCATATATCAGGTTGTATACATGAACAGTCTTACTAGATGTCTCATGAATATGATTCGTCTAGATGACCGAATTGCCATGTGTTATGTACAACAAATCCTTTGCAGTATGCATAGCACCACCAAGCATTTTTAGTGGCTTTCATTAGCACAGGCTGGAAAAAAATTGGCAATGTTTGGTCTAGCTATGATTTCCACCTATCACATGTATGAGACGTACTGTGAATTGAAGAATGGGAAGGTAAATGTCAAAACCTTAGGGGCCAGCAGGTGTATATCTATCCAAATGCAACTTGCCACTAATTTAAATCTGAAATAAGTTCTGCGATTGTCCAACTTGTTCTGCATACTGAATCACTGCTCAGGCAATAATTGATATCATTTTTGCAACCAGCAGAGCAAAGTTTTAACATTTTTGCAACTAGCAAAGCACTGTTTCATCATTTTTGCAACCAGCAGAGCAAAGTTTTAACATTTTTGCAACCACCGTTTACCTGGTGTTTTTAGGGCTTTGAGAGCTATTTGCTCATATGTATAGAATACTGTATAATGAATGCAATGACTTCCAATCACAGACATAGCTGCCTGCATTATCCGTAGTACAAATTGGAACCCAAAAGTTATTGTAGACAAGCCCAAGAAAAATTACTATTGGGCACCAGGCATTAATCATGTTGCTAAGAGAAAGCAATACTTCAAACGCCAACATTTAATATTGCAGATTATGTTATTCATGTTACAGGGCACAGTATTGGTGGATCAAGCGTTATTCAGTATCAACACAATAGTAGCCATTCTGTAAATCAGGAAAGGGTGGGGGGTAAGGGTTGTTTGTGTGAAAGATTAATGTCAATTTTCATCACGGTTGAAATATTTATCAGTCTTGGGGTATTTGTGCGGATCAAAATCTTTATCTTGCTGTAATCGTCTTTGAATGGTGTTTTTAATTTGGTGTTCATAGGCTGCATGCAAATCTGGATTATCACGAACTTCTTCGGTAACTTCCTCCATGCTTGTTAACGGTTCAACATTAGCCGCTTCAATTGCACGCTGTAAAGTAGTTGGTAAAATATCTTCTACTCCCCCAACAGGACGCCCTGGCTTCATCAACTGGAGGAAGCGAGAAAAAAAAAAGAATCCCAAAATAGATACACATTATGTATAAGTGACTGACAAAAAACGTTTTCGATCAATATACAAAAGAAAAGGTTATGTTTCAGTTTCACTGGCTAAGGTGAATAAATTCATTTTGCTGGCTAAATTGCATGCACAGTTAAATGTAGATAAAAATTTCAGATTTCACATGCTCTGGGTAAACGATGACAGTGGCATACAAGACATACCTTCCTTCTCTTGGGTGGCATCCCACTAAGATATGCATCACTCATTGGTGGTTGTGGTGCTTGGCGCCGCTGACGTACGATGTCGTTGTTGATTACCGGCACCCAGTCCTATTGAGGAGAAAATAAAGTTCAGGATTTACTTTGTGCCAGTTATTTCAATATTTCATATACACTATGTTGAGGGCAAATTTGCTTCATTGTGCACCCAACTCTGCTGAGGGCCAAAAAATTACCTCAGTGAAAAGTTCACAGTGACCTCCTGTCTTAAGAACCCAAGGGATATGTTCACTGTGACTTACCGTCTCAAAGACACAAGTGAAATGTTCACAGTGACTCTCTGTCTTAAAGAAACCTTCCACTGAATTATATGTTTATTTAAAAAACCATGAAAACTCACAGCAGGAACAACACTCTGCCAATCAGCTTCTTTATCAACACCATTCTCTTCCATGGATGGAGGTGATGCAGCTGCCGCTAGAGGGGGTACTTCTTCTGACACATCAGCTGCGTCATCTTCAACCTCCATCTGAAGTTACAGAACAACAACAAAATAAAATCAAAGAAAGCTAAGAAAAAACAAGCCATGCATGGCACAGTCCCTGTTAGTTTGAGATATTTGAGATATATAGTTATGTTTATAGTAATATAGCTGGAATATAACCATGTCAGGAATATGATTTTTTTAACATTAAAATGATTGACATTTGTATCTGATCCTCAAACAA